AAAAAGTAAAACAACTACATGTTCAAATTGCCTTGCAAAAGATTAGCTAGGTATTGATAGTGGCTACTGATAAGTTCTGAATGCTCTGTCAGGTTAGACAGGGAACTTTAACACACTTATAAAAAGACCTTCTAAGTAGAAGAAAATTTTAAGCCCCAAACCATTTATACACCTCTGGGACCTCTGAGCAAGATCAAGCAAGTGCTGGTTTTTATGTCAGCCTACATGGGGATGGGGGAGTGAAAGGCTCCAACAAGCACTCAAGTGCAAACCAAGAGACAACAGCATCAATCAGTGGACTGCAAAAGAGGGGAAAGCARTATGACATGATTGCTGTACCACAGAGAGCAGTTTACAGTGCCATTTACAGTTCAATGGATATAAAACAACAGAAAAAGTTGAACATGGTATAACGGTGCAAAYAGTCATAATTAGTGTGTTCCCCTCTACTAATTTGTATACCAAAAAGAATGAGAAATAGACTTCCAACTAGATGGATCATTCTGCAGAACCTAAGTCAATTAGCTGGGGCACATATTCTTAAAAGTAACAGGAAAGAGAGAATTAAGATTTTTAATTCTTATATGATTATGATCACTTTGAATGGCAAAATCTCTGACACTTACCTTTTAAATAGCAACCAAGACTAGATTATATTTTAATAAGTCAAATTCAATATAATTTTATTTTAAAATTGAACAATTACTAAAATACGAAAATACTAAAAAAGTTGTATTTATGGAAAGAAGTTATGAGATAGAAAGCAGAAATATACAGCTTTGCAAGTTTGTTCAACTTGTTTAACCTTWAAGGCTATTAAAACTGTTAAATATAAATATGATAAAAACAAGCATGGCAAGAATTACAGTAGTCTGTCTGGTGTATCACCTTCCCAGAGCGCAAATTCACAGTTTGATGATGATTAAGATATGGGGAAAATTATTCATCTGATTACCAGCAGGAGACAGATAAAATGAATGCAAGATACAGCTGAATTTAGCATTATAATCACAAGAAGAATTTTTACCCATATCTCGCAGCAGGGTTTTACACACAGGAATTTCCTGACTCTAATAATGTCATTTATTCCTGGCAAAGTCTRTTCCTTATCTACATATATTCCATTTTTCCGAACCAGAACAGCACTAAGCTATATAAGTGCTGGACCAACTTCTGCCAGATTCACTCACTGTATATATTAAAAGTTTTATTAAAGCATTGTATATTATTATCTGAAAGTAAGTTAGAGGAGCACCTTGATCATCCTAACAGTTACAAGGGACTTCTCCAAGCCCACGACATACGTAACTTTAGAGGAATTTATAGTAAGCTTYACTCTTGAAGATTCTATTTTTAACTTTGTTTTGTGAAAATAAATAGAATAGAGTAAGGTGTCCTGGCAGAAAGAGGCCCTATACAACAAATGTGAACAGGAAAAGATTTTAAGCACATAGCAATTACCTTAACTGCSTTTTCCCCATGCCTTTCTATACACCACTCTCAGCAGTCTTAAAAAATTTTTGATCAGTCCTCCAGGCCTTATTTTCATTACAGCAGAGAAATTTTCAYTACCACCACTGTTCTGATCAAGATTATATTTCCCTTTGATTCTTCCCTTCCATGCTGTGTTCCTTTATTCTGTAGTGAAGTCTTACCTAATTTCATTATCTATCTTTGTAAAAGCAACTGTGCTGCAAAAAATGCATCTTTTCATTGTACAAATATGGAAATTATAGACTTGGAACAAAGGAACATGACACAAAGCTCTCATAATTAGCAAGCAGTGGCACAGAAAAAACAGGATAAATATTATGTTTAAAATCATTCTGTGCTGTTTAGACATTTCTCCTTGATGGAGAAAATTCTCTTCCAACCCTCATGCCAAGCACTGGAAACCTGTTTTGGCTCTAACCATGTCCCAGAGCAAGTGAATCTACAACTGCTAAGACAAACGTGGGCTGCAGTAGCAATGCTGGTCCTGAACCGTGGTTCTATGGCCAGCAAAGCCATGGATTTCTACCTCTGCCTAGAAAGTAGTGGATTCTTCCTTACCAAGCTGTTCTTCACATCTGGCACCACTTCACGGCAACACAGAAGCCCTGGGCTGCTGAGCTCCTTCCTGTCCTCTCTGGAGAAGCCCAGAGCTACTATTTGAGTTGAGTCTGACACTCACCCCAAAATTCATGGCCGGTGATCTGAGCCATAGCTGCCAGCTGATGCCAGAGTACCACAGCAGAGCACAGGGCCTGTGCAGCTCACCTGTACAAAGTCTGYCTAAACTTTGACTCACAGAATGACTGCTGGTTTGCATTGAGCAACTCACRGATCACACATGCCACTTACTCAGARGTAACAAATACCACACAGTATTTGCAGYTCCAGCTTAGTYCTCTCAGGCTAGTTGCCTGYAATATTCAGAAAAAGTTAGACATYCCCTCAAAATCACAAATATTTGGTTTTAAGTATCTGTGCTGTTATCCCACAATGTCCATTTCAATCCAGTATGCAGACAATGCATYTGGCATTGTTTTTACTTATTAGCCTGACCATGATAGCAGTTTCCAGAATGTATGCCCTAACAATTAACATCTTTTGAGCATAATATGTTCAATAAGTAAGTACAGTTAGATCATCTGCTTAAGATTGCAGAACTTCTTTTATAGGATTTCCTTTTCTGAGTAATTTACATAATACAAAAATAGATGTTTAATTTCAATAAGCTGCAAATTTTCCTACAATATTTTGTAACAGAACTGGGCCATTAATGTATTTTCAAATAATTTTTCCATTTTAAGGATATGATTTTGGTCAGTCCAGAGGGCTCCAGATAACTGCTCTACAGATTAAAAATACGCACAAAGGATGTGAGTTTTTGAATAGCATTCCTCGCATTTTAGAAGAGATAATGTTTGAAACTGCTTATCTTGCCCTGCCTTTTTGTGGAAAAAAGGTGTGCAACCAATGTCCCAGGCCACCTGACACATCACCAACCAGTCCTCTGTGTCTGAAATGCTGCTTACGGTGAAAGATACAGGCTTCACAACACCATTATGAGGATCTGGAACACACTTTCAGATTTTTATATTGAAATTACATTCTCATATTGCGGGTCAAAATACTCACTGTTTTGCAAAGAACTAGTTTTCATTCGAGCTTGTAAAAATATCTGAAGCTTCAATGTATTTATGCAATGCTCTGTTGAGATTCAACTGCACTTTAATCAAGCAAAAGAAGCCTKCAGTTGCATAGTCAGTTCATCAAACAGCTCTTGAGAAAACAAGAACTTTATCTTCACAATTTAGCTGCATTCAAGATTAGAAAGCTCTTAAAAAATCTTTTACATCATACACAAAGATATCAATGGTAGWAAAATTTTAAAGTATTGTTCTGTTGAATTAACTGTTCCCAAACAAGATTTAACTTTCAAACATATAAATACTTAAACCTGGACAATTAAATCCTCATTTTGTCTCATAAATTAATAGGCTGAATTTCAAAGATTTTGACAACTCCCACTTATCACTCTACTGCCAAGAAGAACTTTGTGTGTGCTCCTCTAAGCCAAGCCACTTGATTCAGTGATCAAACATATGATGTCCACACAAAGACATCCCCACTTTTGAAAGATGCTGACTAAGCTTCTGGCATTAACTGGTGCCAGCCAAAATAATGGTTATTAACAGAACTGTGGATTTGCTTCATGAAAAATGGAGGTGTAAGATGCAGCCTGTATATTTCCCATTGCTCACCGAAGTGAGAACAATGACATGGGCTCCATGATCAGCATTTCAGAACACATATACTGTGCCTATTCAAGTTGGACATAAAAGAGACTGTTCCATTATGCTGCCTTGAAATTAACAAAAATTTAATTCAACTCTGACTTTCCTACTGACTTTCATATTTTCATTATTATTCTCTGTCTCATCTTTCCTCTTGCACCTAATAAAACCCTCATCTCAGACCCTACAAAAAAGGATGATTACAGGTGCRAGGCATTTTGAGAGTCACCTCTAACTTCAGAGTATCTATTTCTCTAGGACTGAAAGAGTCTCGGTGTTAGTGAGGTACAAAATGTTTTCCTTTGCTCTGGAACATGTGCGTAAGTAACACACAGAATGGGAAATAGTTCTGGTAATACAGCACCACCAGCAAGATGCTGACCAGTTTCAATCTGGGTATTTGCAAAGTGAAACTTACTTCTTGAAGTTCATAATATTAAGAGAAGATGCTGAAGGGCTGCTGAAGTTTTCTAGCTACAGAAAAATGTAAGAGATTACAGTAGGGCTGGCCTTATCATTGGGAGCACAGGTCATTTATCYGGGATTTATGCTATTGACACAAAAGAAAGAACATCCTGAGGACACTGCCACCATTTTGTGAGCAAGGTCTGACACCTGTACTTTTGCCCTCTTGGTAGCACGATCAGCAGCGCCTGGTGAAAGTTAGTACCAAACAGTACTCARCCATAAGGCTGCCTGAAGCTTTAAGTCTTAAGTTGTTACTTCTCTTTAACACAACAATCCATAGCTCTCTATAAAAGCATCTAAAAAGGCAGAATGTACATTCMACTACTGTTCTCATTCTTGCCATGTCTATAATGTACAGAGCTGCTAAAAATCAACTGCAGCTGGCAGTACTAACAGTTCAGACAAAATCAGGGAGAGGYTGAGCTTTTTTCATTTTCTCTCATGCCTGAGGAAATAGTATATATATGGCTCCTTGCCCATCCATTCCRACACTTAAATCACACACCTATGCCTCTGGAGATGGGTGTTTGTGTGTGTGGGAGGCAATGCACAGAGATGAGGTGAGGTCTGGCAGGCAGCACCATGGCCTGTTGAAACCTCAAACCACACTTCATGTACACAGTTTAGTGCTCACTTTAGCCACAAACCCAAACTAGTGTCCATTCCATTCATGCCCCCAAACTCCTGCTTGCCCAATTCATGTACTAAACCCGGACCCCACTGACCAAGACACTGGTCCCACTTCCTCACCTGACCACGTTGGGGTGTTCAAATGTCTCCAGGTGCCTCAAAACTGCCACCTCTCGGATAGTGGACAGTGGCATTCCCTCTTCGCTGGTCTGCACCCGTACCCGCTTCAGCGCAACAAAGCGACCTCCATTCTTCAAGTCTCGGGCTTTGAACACCTTCCCGTAGGCTCCTTCCCCAATCTCAGCCACGCATTCATACTGCTGGTCAGCCAGGTTTGTGCTGTCCTTATCCATGCTGGCTCCAGTCCTCTTCCTCCTCTCCAAGTGCCTCGAGGTGGCTCTCAGTCTCGCTTACTYTCTGCAAACCACTACTTTGCTCGGGTGCAGACAGGCCACGCACTTGGTACCTCTGCCAGAGAGGCAGTAGGAAGCTCTTGCCCTCCTGTCCTTGTTCCTTTTCTGTACTGGCCACAATGTGCCTCCTCTTTCGGCCACCAGGAATTATCATACAGTCTTTGGGAGCATTGCCTGTGCAAAGCCAATTAAATCTGGAGGAYAAACCAAGCAAGAAAAATGGGTTTAGTTCAGTTTACTCCATTACTTTGCCTTGTTCAAAACCAGCTAATATTACAGTAAAGTAATACAGTAGACAGCTACACGAAAAGCACATGAACCAGGAGGGTGACATATGTATCAAGGTCCCCAAGTGGCTGATACACTACAAATTATCACGGTCTGTGCACGCGCCTACAGAGCAACAGTGCGCTGCGGGGTTTTACTGAGCTAGGAACTCAGATGATGACCCCATGAGATATGGGTGATGGGGACGGCAGAGCTAAATGGCACGTGTGAGCAGAAGTTATGTGTGAAAACTCATGTCAGGATTTCAGGACTCAAAAGTTTTGTTTACTGAACATGATGGAGTCTTGGAGATATATTCCATGCTGTTTTACTGTCACTTGCTTGCAAGTAATAGAATTTGGACGTTTCTGCCTTGGTCTGCTCTCTCCTGTGCTAAGCCCTTCATGAACACATCACAAGCACACTGCAAGAAACAAGGTCTTGCCACAAAGCACCTGTGGAGAGGCGAAATACAAATATGTAAATGACAACAATATGTTATGAAGCATTGTGTCCTGAGGTAGATTCCAAAATGTGCACTTTAGCAAATGTATTAAAATGCAAGGGTTTTGGCTTCCGATACTGCTACATGTGTCACTGGCAGCTCCTTGCAAAGCCACATGGTTTAGGATGTCTTCATGAACCTCATGCTCTGCTGTGGAGTGCATGAGGCTGGAAAGCAGAAGCACTTCTTTCTGCATCCAGTTTCATCCACTTCCTGCAGGACTGGGCAAATCCTCTCCCCTCACAAAGCTTTACAATTCCTCCCTTACGCCTGACGCTTTTCAATACAGAGATACTGTGACCTCCAGGACTGTCACCCTCTTCTACACTGCATTTTTACCGTGCTAGGATGAAAGAGCCCCAGACAGCTCAGTAGGGGATCCCCTAGGTGGAATTCATGGACAATGCCAGGGCTGACACTTATGCTGATTTTACACCTTAGCTGCAAACGAAAAGTGCAATCTGAAGGAAACCTGCGCCTGCTGCTCATCCCTTCTCCCCGACTGCAACAAGAGGCGGCTCCCTGTCCCGCCGGCTTCAGTTCCCAGCACAGCTGCACCGCACCGCGCCAGCCAGCGGGCAGCCCCGCGCTCCCCGCCGGCAGCATCACCGGGGACACCGAGCGCGGGTCACCGCGGAGGGACCCCAGCCCGGCCCGAGCCCCCGGCAGTGCGCGGTCCCCAGCCCGCCCCGAGTCCCCGGCGGTGCGGGGGTATCCCTGCCCACCCCGAGCCAGCCGGTGCGGTGACCCCAGCCCGCCCCGAGCCCCCGGTGGTGCGGGGGTATCCCTGCCCACCCCGAGCCCCCGGTGGTGCGGGTACCCCAGCGGTGCGGGGGTATCCCTGCCCATCCCGAGTCCGGTGGTGCGGGGGTATCCCTGCCCACCCCGAGTCCGGCGGTGCGGGGGTATCCCTGCCCATCCCGAACCCCGCGGTGGGGGGTGTATCCCTGCCCATCCCGAACCCGGCGGTGCGGGTACCCCAGCCCGCCCCGAGGCCCCGGCGCGGCCGCGTGGAAACTTACCCGTGCTCGCCCTCCCCGTGCACGGCGGGGCACCGGGGCTACCCCCGGCTGCCGCTGGTGCCGCCGCGCCGCCGAGCTCCCCTCCACGGGCGCCCCGCAGGCGGCGGGGGGGTGGCGGCGGGGGACACGCGGGGATCCGCGTCCCCGCGCTTCCTCTCAGCGGACGGAGCTGGGGGGGGCCGGCTCCGCTGCTCGGCAGGACGCCGAGGGCACCCCCCCGGCGGCTCCCCCTGAGGGCACCYCTTCCCCCGCGGGCCCCTCCGCGCCCCCGCGCCGACCCCGAGTGGCGGCACCGCGGGGCGCGCTGCCCCGGCCCGGCCGCCGAAGGGACGCGTCCGCGGTGCTGCCCGCGGGGGAGGAGGGGTGCGCGGTGTGGGCTCCCGGGCCGGGCGCGGAGGGGACGGCGTGTGGGCCACGCCGCGGGGCCGGGTGCGCGGAGCACATGGGCGCCCCGCGTTACCTGGTGTGCGCCACGACCGCCTGCACCGCCACCAGTTCCCCA